GAGCCTCTCTTCTCCATGTGCTCCACCGGACTGTGGTACGGCGGCGCTGGCTCCGGCTCCTTAGAGGCGAAGTATGCATCCGTCTCAGACTGCGGGATGCCCATGCGCTGGATGTAGATGTTGACTAGGAAATCCAGCTTCCTCTCCATTGACATCACCTAAAAAAAAGAGGATTATAAAACGGAGAGTTCCGGTGCTTGATTCTGATTGGCTGAGCCGCGTTCAAAGCTGTTGTAAATTACTCTACAAAGTAACATACACCTTTGTTTACATTTGTGTGTTGCGACTTTAGTGCAGTGCGACACACCGCTGAAGTAGGCGTTGTTGAGGAAGTCCAGGTTCTCTTTGGACTGCGAGATGCTGAAGCCGCTGAAGGAGCGCTCCAGTTCCTCGTGGTCCACCGAGGGGATGGATATGGACGTGTCGCTCTCGGCTCCGGCCTGCTGCTTGGAAAGAGCCAGCGGGCGTCCATCTTCGCGTTGCGACGCATGATGCTGTCCAGCCCCGCGAGAGCCTCCGTTGTGGCCGGCGGACGAGCGCTCGTGGGCCGGAGGCGGCGGGATGCGCACTAGCGATGGGTCAGCCGTGGGTGACGTACCTTGCGTGGGTTCGGGGCGGCTGTGAAGGTGCCAGGATGTGGAGGGCGGGCAGTGGTGGTTGACGCAGGTCGACGGCGGCGGGTCGAAGTTCTTCTGGCCTGCTGAGCTGTTGGAGCGGATGATTTTGGTGATGGAGCCGCTCTTCTCCATGTGCTCCACCGGACTGTGGTACGGCGGCGCCGGGTCCGGCTCCTTAGAGGCGAAGTAAGCATCTGTCTCAGACTGCGGGATGCCCATGCGCTGGATGTAGATGTTGACCAGAAAATCCAGCTTCCTCTCCATTGACATCACCTAAAAAAAAGAGGATTATAAAACGGAGAGTTCCGGTGCTTGATTCTGATTGGATGAGCCACATTCGAAGCTGTTGTAAATTACTCTACAAACATACACCTGTTTACGCTCCTTTCGGACGATCCTTGTCTGTGACTGAAGGACCCCGACCAACAATCTGATCCACTCTAACAATCAATTACAGACATGAAACATCTAGAATAAAAACTTCACAACTCAACAAAGTCAAACTGTAAGTGTTTTCTGCCAAAAAAAAAAAAAATGTTTTAGGAGAAAATATTTCAACCAGTAATTCATTATAAATTAAACATGGAACAAAACACAGAAACAGAAATACACCTGCTCATATTTACCAGAATTTGTAAATAAT